GTGCACTGGTACCAAAGGTACCTTTATTTCTTCTTCTATATTCATAGTTGTATTATTTTCATTTTGTATGTTGCTAGTCATAGGAGTAAAATTCATATTTTCCTCATTTTCTTGATTGTTGTTATCATCTTGTTGATCAGAAACACTTCTGGTATTGTATTTATGTTTTTTCTTACCCATACTAGTAAAAAAGATAGAAAAATAACTAAGTTTTATATGTAACTACAGTGAAAAATCGTATTTTTTTACTGTGGGAATATTTGGTACAAGTGATTGACAGGAAGAGTTATCTATGATAAGCTAAATAAACTAATAAATAATATATTATATTATATAAATTAATAAAAATTTAATATCTAAATTGATAATTTTGAATCTTGATTAAAAACTATATTAGAGGTAACACAAATATTTTTTTACACATTTTTTTTTTTTTCTTATTTTACATTTCATTTATTTTACATCTTATTAATGCCTTCTGATATTTCTGATAATGAATATGTGCCAGATTTTGAAGACTCAGAACTTGATAACACTCAAGAAACTTTAATTAATAATAATCCTGAGAACTTAAATTCAGAAGAAACAAGTGATATCATTGATATTCCTATAAATGAGTTTGTAAATGAACCAACTTTTACTTTAGAAAATAATTAACAAAGAGGAAAAACTTCTTCTCTAGTCTGGAAATTTATATATAAAAAATACAATGATGAAGGAAAGTTCATAGCAATAGTTTGTAATTTGTATAAAAAGGAATATGGAACAAAAACTTCAACAAGTTTACTTAAAGAACATTTAATTAAAGAGTATAAGTATAATGTTACTATTAAACAACAAACAAAATTGAATTTTATTAAAAAACTATATAGCAAAGATGATGTTATTAGAGTAAAAGATTACAATGATGCTCTTCTTAATTTAGTTATTAGATATCAACTACCTTTTATTATTGTAAATAATAAATGGTTTGATGAATTTTGCAAAACAATGGATTTAAGATTTACATTACCTTCTCAACAATATTTACAAAAACAGATTCTTGATAATTTTGAAAGTAGACATATAGTAATTACAAGTGAACTTGAAAAACTTGAATCTAAAGTATCACTTATTGCAGATATTTGAACTTCTATTTCAAATCAAGTATATCTTGAAGTTACTATTTATTTTATTGATGAAAATTGGAAAATGCATTGTTTTCTTTTAGATTTAATTCATTTTGAAAACAGTTATACAGGTGTTAAAACAAAAGAAAAACTTTTATAATTATTAAATAAAATGAATTTTAATAGAAAAATTCTTGGATTAACTACAGATAATGATTCTAAAATGATATTATGTGGTAATCTTTTAACAAATGAATTTGCTGATTATGAATTCAACCATTATAGATGTGCTGCACATGTCTTGAATATTGTAATTAATCATGGAATGGAATTAAAAATAGCAATTATTGACAAAGTTAGAGTATTTGTTAACAAAATACGTCATTCAACAAATCTTTGTGATTCACTTTGTAATTATTGTAAATTAATTAAAAAGAATTATCTTAAACCTGAAATAAATATTTATACTCATTGGAATTCTACATTTTTAATATTAGAAAAATTTAATAAAATGCATAAAGAATTAGATTTTTTGATATGCAAAAATAAAAATTTAATTATTAATTATCTTGAAGAGGAGGAATGGATTCAAGTTCAATTTATGATTACTTTATTAGAACCAATGTATAAAGCAACTAAAATTCTTTCATCAAGTTCTTATTCAACAATTGGAGATGTGAGGTTAACTTTTGCTGATATTCTTCAGCATATTAATTTATATAAAAATAATTATACATTAGAAGAATGTATGATAGCAGATTCTATTAAACACAAACTTGAAGAGTATTGGAAAATTTTAGATGAATCTATAACCATTTCAACTGTTTTAAATTCATGTTCAAAATTGTTTACATTTTTTTCTGAAGATCAAAAAAATTCAGTAATTAATTTAGTACATTCAAAGATGAACTTATATATACCTATTCAATCTAATTCAAATGAAATTATTTCAAATATTACAAATGCAAGATCTTTTTTTGAAAATCTTATAATGTAACAACAAAATGAAAGGCAACCTATAGAAGGAGAATTAGAACAATATTTAGTTATACCATTAGCACAATCTGAACCATTAGTTTAGTGGTCACAATATGTTAACAAATTTTCAGTATTATCAAAAATGGTATGTAATTATCTTACTATTTAAGGAACAAGTGTTCCTTGTGAACAAATTTTTTCTATTGCTTCACATACTTTAACAAAAATTAGAAATCGTCTTAATCCAGAAACAGCTCGTGCATCATTATGTTTAAAAAGTTGGATGGAAAAAAATATTGGTATAAAAAAATAATTAATATTATAATAATTTTATAATTAATAATAATATTTTTTTTTATAATTAACAATAATAATATCTTTTAATATTATATAATTTAAAATAAAAAAAAATATTATATAATTTTAAAATAAAAAAAAAATAATAATAATTTTAAATAAAAAAAAATCAATAATTATAATTTAATTAAATTAATAGTTCATTATTTAAATATATTAATTTTGAAAATTTTAATTAATAATTCAAAGGTGATTAAAGATCATATTTCTAATTATTTTTATAAGTTTTTAATATTACAGATTTTTAAATTAAATATAATATAAATCTGTAATTTCACAATTAATAGTGAACTTTTGTGTACTAATCTTTTTATTTTTGGAATCTCCCTTTTTTAGCTTCAAAATGATATCTTTTTTTTTATCTCAATTAGATAATTTTTTGCTGAGATATCTTAAAATCAAATTTATCAATTAAAAATAATAATTTTTCATGTTATTTAAAGTGATTTCAATAACCTGTAATTCAATTTTTGCATTCTATAGCTCATTAGATTCACCTAATCAAGACACACATTTTGGTAGTTGTTTCATCCAAATTGGACTTCTCTACACAAAGTTATTAATTTCATCAGTATGTAAAATTTATGAATACAATTATTCTTTTACCATGCTGTATAAACGATTTTATTAACCTGTAATCCAATTTTTGTGTTCTATAGCTCATTAGATTCCCCTCATTGAGGCGAATATTTTGATAGTTGTTTCATCCAAATTGGACTTCTCTACGCAAAGTTATTAATTTCATCAGTATGTAAAATTTATAAATACAATTATTCTTTTACCATGCTGTATAAATGATTTTATTAACCTGTAATCCAATTTTTGTGTTCTATAGCTCATTAGATTCTCCTCACCAAGGCGAACATTTTGGTAGTTGTTCCATACAGATTGGATATCTATGGCAAGTTATTAATTAAAATATTTGTTTAATCAATAGGTAAGATCTTATGATTTTTCATGTTATTTGAAGTGATTTCAATAACCTATGATCCAATTTTCGCAATCTATATCTCAATAGATTCTCCTCATCGAGGCAAATATTTTGGTAGTTGTTTCATCCAGATCGGACATCTCTATGTCAAGTTATTAATCAAAATATAATAATTTATAAAATAATTATAAACTTATGGAATAATTGCAAACTTGCAGAACAATGATACAGGTAATACCATAATCTGCAATTCATAATTGTGGGTACCATCTTTAAAGATGATTCAATTAATTTATAACTAAACTAATAGTTGAACTGATAGTTAAATAGTTGAACTGATAGTTAAATAACAGTTAAACCTTTAGTTGAACTGACAGTTAAACTGGTAGTTAAGTTAATGGTTAAACCTATGGCTGAATTAATGGTCAAACCGACAGTTGAACTGATAGCTGAACTGACAGTTGAACTGATAGTTGAACTGACAGCTGAACCGATGGTTGAATTAATGATTAAACCTATGGTTAAACCAACAGTTAAAATGATAGTTAAACTGATGGTTAAACCAACAGTTAAACTGCAGTTGAGGAACCATGGTTCAGTTCAACTTGAAGGTTTAACCGATGACTTTTGAACTGAACCGAACCAAGTCGAACTGATAACATCCCTAGTAATGGGTATATATATATGTATCAGGTATATATATATGTATTGGGCATATATATACACATCGAGTCTATGTATATGTATCAGATATATATAGTATATGCATCGGGTATATACCATAGGAAAAGGTTTTGATTTTTTCCCTTAGAATTCTACTATTTTACTTAAGTTACTTGTGACAGATATATAAAATTAATCAAGAAAGAAATAAAAAAGCTCAAAACTCTCAAACAAGTGTCACAAGTTCTGTCACAAGTACCTGCAAACAACTTGTGACAAAAAATGTGTTGACCTAGGGACAAGGTAAATCAATATACTTTGCTATGATATTTACAAATATTAACACTAGGAAGAAGTCTCCATATCAGATGGATGAAATAGGTAACTGGAGAGGCAACAGCAAAAATATATTATAATAAATATGGCAGAACGCAAAAAAATCACATGACTGCGAGACAAATTTGTCCCGCACTAAATGTATTCAAAAAAATGTAATGTTTTACAATTTGAGAAAACATTTTAAAAGGTGAGATAAAATAAAAATAGATAATTAGAATTATTTCAAATGATATATGGTATAAACCTTTTCCTTTGACTAAAATAAACATCCCATGCTTTACCAAACCGCTTTTTCAATGCTGCTTCTTCATAAGTGATCCTTTTATACACCATTATGTTAGCAATCATATTACCACTTGCAAAAACCATAATGCACAAAATCAAAATTATGTTCCAATTAAATGAAAAATGTAAATATAGAGGAATATAATAGCATAATCGATAAGTCATCAGGTAATTGGCCGTCACCAAGGTAGCACCCGTATACTGTGTAATTGAAGTTTGGTGATTAGCATTGAATAAAATCTTTTTTTTTCAAATAAAATACTCACCGAAGGATGAACCAGTAAAGAATATGGACCCGTAGTAATTAATTTATGTTTCTTTTTAATAGTAACATGAAAAGTAAAATATGCTTTTAAGCATTTAAAACACCATATTCTTAATAAAGATCCACCAACGATACACAAAAACCAGACAATATCTAATAAATTCCATTCAGAGAATTTATAATTTTCGTCAGGTAAAATTGGAATTGAACTAATTTCTTGTTGATACATTACATGAATATAAAGTAATGATTGCATTAAGTTGAAAATGATTACTAATGTAGGAAGAAATTGAGCGAAAACTATTCCTACTATTCCTTCTGTTAACATAATTTTTTTGGTGGATAAACTTGGATTTGGTGGTGAAAAGGCTTTAAAATGAACGTAATTTTGAATAACGAATGCAATAATTTTTGTATACATTTTGGAAATTATTCAAAGTTTGTGGGTAAGTTATGTAGAGAGAAAGAGAGAAAGAGGAGAGAAAGAGAGAAAGAGGAGAGAAAGAGAGAAAGAGGAGAGAAAGAGAGAAAGAGGAGAGAAAGAAAGAAAGAGGAGAGAAAGAGATAAATCAAAATTATATCATATCGTTCAACAAATCGAAGAATATATACTGTATCTGATACACTGTACTGAATATATACTGTATCTGATACACTGCACTGAATATATACTGTATCTGATACACTGTACTGAATATCGGAATTCGACCAAAAATGTTAAACCGATAATTTAACAATCCAATCATTAATTTATTATGAAACGAGTTTAAATAAACTGATTTTCGGTTTCAGATGCAAATATATCGCGACCATACGGGAAAAGTGCATCAGGAATTCTAATAATTGATGTGGCTTGTCAGCAATTTGTTCAAATTGACCAATCAAATCGTAAGATCATACGTAACACGAAAATTCAAAACAAACCGACTTTTTTTTACTAGGGACGGATTTTTTATTAGGACGCGAGCAAATCCGTTTTGACAGCATTAATCGATAGCAATTACGCGACATAGGTTGCAGACATATGGTACTTGTGATGGGTTTTTGGGTCGCGGTGGGTTGCCATCATCTGATTCACGTGCCTCATCCTTAATCGGTATTCGAACACATCATACAAAGCCAGGTCACGAATACTATTTCGGCACTACGTGCCTTAACTTTGGCCTTCATAAAGGAATTAATCAGAAATCTAGGGCACTACGTGTTCAGTTCGGGCATAACCCTCACATCGGGCTCACAAATGACGAATACATCGTCGGGTATATTTTTTTTATCCATGTGGCCAGTGATGAAAATCAGCCATGATTGCCAAGCCGGCAATTCAATAGTTGGCGTGTGGTCTGATATTCAAAATGTGCCACCTTGGTGTGTGTCGCAAAAAGCAAAATGCACATCATCCACAAATGACGCGTAAAACACAATCAACCAACCCGTTCGGAGGTTGTGATATACAAATAATGTTATTGAATTTGGATTCTAAAAGAATTAGAACATATTGTAGGAGGGTCGCCTATCGGTCGTCATAACCTACATCGGGAAGAGTCCTATACTTGAATGACTTGAGTTTTGCGATAGACACGTCATAGCTGAGTGTTCATAACCTAAACTAAGTGGAAATAATATAATTATATTATTTCCACTAAGTTCTATAAGAATTGGCTCTGGTTCAAAAAATTAAATTTGACTTGAGTTGAGTTTATATAATAAAACTTGACTTGGCTCATGACTCATAAACTTTATAGTGGCTCACAAGCTTTATAGTAGCTTGTGAGCTTTATAGTAGCTTGCAAGCTTTATAGTAGCTTGCAAGCTTTATAGTAGCTCATAAGCTTTATAGTGGCTTGCAAGCTTTATAGTGACTCATGAGCTTTTAAAAGCTTGCAAGTTTTATACAGCTCATGAGCTGAAGTTTGGCTTGGCTAAAAAAAAAAAATTGATTTCTCTTTATCATCATAAATCTTATCTTAATCACTGAGAATATGTATACACAAGTTTATTTTGTTAAAAATAAATTTAAAGCTCATGATTATTTTCACACTCTAACATGCATGCGTGAGTTTATTTTATTAAAAATAAATTTAAAACTCTTGATTATTTCACTTTAATATGTATGTGCAAATTATTTTATTAAAAATAAATTAAGGCTCATGATTATTTCACACTCTAGCATGTATGTGCGAGTTTATTTTATTAAAATAAATTAAAGTTCATGATTATTTCACACTCTAGTATATATATTTTATTAAAAATAGATTTAAAACTCATGAATAATACATGAATATTTCACATTTAATAAGGTTTCAGATTTTTATAAATACGTTTGAATCATTTCGACAAATTACATTTGTAAGCGGATTAAAAGCGAAAGTTATTAAAGGTTGTACGGCGTAAATTTTTTTGTGATACTTAATATATATTAAGGGTTAATTAATAATATATATTAAGGGTAATAATTGCTAATTAATAATATATATTAAGAACGATACAGTTAATGGTCTCTCGAAATTTATTTATTTGAAATAATATGCTATGCTTTTAGCTCATCATCAAGTGTTTGATGGAATATTTTAAATAATCGCAAATCCACCATTTACCCTCCGTAGTGAAAAGAATCCAATAGGAATTAATCTGACATTTGCCATCTTTATCTAAAATATAGGTCTAAGTGCATTGTTAATTTTTTTATTAATAATATCTCCTTTCTCTTAAATGAGCTTTGATGCTTACCTTTGAGTTTCGAACCAGAAGAGTCAGAGGTCTGAGATTTGGTAGGTATACTTACGCCAGTTTCTGATGAAACCTCCTCGTTTGTTTTTGAATAAGAAGATACAGAGATTAATGACTCAGCTGGAGCTGCATTATAATTTTATGAAGAATATGCATATTAGAAAGATAATATAAATTTTGTGAAAATATACTATAAAATTATTTATTGGAAAAGTGGAAGATCAAAGGATGAAGAGAAAGCATTTCAATGGTACTTGAAATCAGCTGAAAGAGGAAATAGTGTCGGACATCTTTTTTTAAAGTGAATAAAAGGATGTTATCAGTTAAGAACGATCTAATTCCAACTTGGTTTTAAATCAAACCGATACTACAGTTCTAATGTTATGGTTGAACCGTTTAAACAAAAAATTGCGCTGAATTACATAAATCAAGTAATTCGTTCACATGTTATAGCTTCTGGCCAATCGAGATATACACTGTATCTATGTACAATGTAACACATATAACATCACATGTACGCACGCGAATATTTTATTTAATATTTTTTAAAAAAAATAAAGTAAATAAAGTTTTTTTTTTCTTTTTGACGTATTTTACATATCTTCTTTTATGTTTGTTTGCATTAATTTTATTTTAATCTCGTTATATTGTATATTCTATTATTTTTATTGTATAATAACAAACAAACAAACAAAATGCAACAAAAAATTGATCTCTCTCTTTTTACTGTATATACATTACATACATTTGGTAATGAATTATTATTTTTGAATTATTGAAATAAGAATAAAGAATTATAAATAATTGTAATAAAGAACTATTATAATAAGAATTATACTGTTGAATATGATTATAAAGAAATAACAATAATATATAGCAATGAAATAACAATGAAATAATTAATCGGATATTTTTTTTTGATTTCTCTTTTTGTTTATAGAAAAATCAAAAAATTTATATCGATATAACAATAAAAAACTTTCCGCATAAACTGAATCGTGCATATATATGCTGAATTATACATATTATATTATATTTCAATTTTTTTTTTTAAAAAAAAAACCGAAAAATTAAGTATAAGTAAAGCGAGATTATGGATATAACAATGAACAAATATTATATTTAATATATTTGTAATAATAACAACAATATAATATTACTATATTTAATAAATAAGTTACATATGAAATAAAGAACTATATATATTATATATATTGTTTGATATCAATTATATTAATTGTTAAAATAACAATGAATTAAGATAATAATAGATAATAATAATTACTATTTTGATGATAAATTTTTAATATAGTATATGTGCATATATGCAAAACGAAAATGAATTGATGCAAATTAATGCAAATAAAATAAATTGATGCAGATTGATTGATGCAAACGAGGAAAAAACGAGAGAAGTGAAAGAAGTGAGGAAGATGAAAGAAAGAAAAAAAGTTTAATAATCATAATCATGAATGATCATAATGACAATAATCATAATGATTAAGGAAAAAAAAAGACTTCGGTTTTTTTTAGTTTGAATAAAATACGGAAACAACGGAAATAGAGTTTATGTATAGACCTGTAAACGAACAATATATGTGTAACATGATGACATGCATATTGATATGTCCAATACAAAGACGTTATTATATAATTCGGAACAAGGAACAAATTCAAAAAAAAAATTTTTTTTAAAGTAAATTTAGGGTTTATTCATGCGTTAGGAAGAAGAAAAAAGATTAAAATAGGTTTATTGTACGGAATATACGGAATGTACGGAATATACAACCATATACAGAGTATACGGAATATACAATCATATATAATTATAAATCATTAATTAATTAATTATCGGCTATATTAAAATTAATATAATTGATTGTTTTCTATATATGTTAAAAGAGATATCTATTAATAGTTATTTTCATCTGAAAACAAGTTGACAGGATGTTGAAATAAATGCGCGTTTTTTTTTTGACAGTTGATAAATGAGCTGTAAGAGATAATATATTTGTATATATATTATGAAATATATTATGACTGTTTAGTAAACAGTTTAGCATAATATAGTATAATATAGTATAATGATGATAGTGTAATGATGATATTTATTATAGATTGTAAAGATAATTGATGCTCTCATATCATTATAAAACATTATACACGCGATAATGAAGTATAATGAAGTGGACAATATTTTATGGACAATATCTTTAATTTTTATTATTATTATTATATATATTTTTGTGGAGATATCAAAAAAAAAAAAAAGAGATAGCATTTTGTAATATATGATATATACTTTTTTAATAATATTACGATTGTTCAGATTACCGTGTAACTTGAAAAAAAATGAAAGGAATAAAATTATCTTGTATTACCAACCTGTCAAAAAAAAAAGAGATTATTTGAATGAATATTTCTGTTTTTGATTTACTATTAATATAAATAATATGATAACAGATAATAATAAAGATATTCGTGTGTGGGGAATGACAAAAAGAATGGTATAGTGAACAAATATTGTTATAAATATTATCATAAGAATATTATTATGATAATCTCGTGTCAATAAAATTAAATCAAGTTTTTCTAGTTAATTCTAGTTTTCAACTAAATTCTAGATTTTAAAAGTTAATCAAATTTTTAACGTTAAATCAAAGTTAATTTATATAAAAAAGTGGGGTGCATTTA